TCATCTTCACTATCATTATTCTGAGTTCTTTTTCTGGAACTTGCCTATCTCCACTTCATTTAGTTGTTTTTCTAGGGTTTTATCATGTTCATTCATCTGGTACATAGCCCTCTGCCTTTTCATGTTGTCTATGTTTCTGTGAATGTGGTTTTTGTTCCACAGGCTGCAGGATTGTAGTTCTTCTTGCTTCTGCTGTCTGCCCTCTGGTGCATGAGGCTATCTAAGAGGCTTGTGCAAGGTTCCTAATGGGAGGAACTGGTGGTGGGTAGAGCTGGCTGTTGCTCTGGTGGGCAGAGCTCAGTAAAACTTTAATCTGCTTGTCTGCTGATGGGTGGGACTGGGTTCCCTCCCTGTTTGTTGGTTGTTTGGCCTGAGGTGACCCAACACTGGAGCCTACCTGGGCTCGTAGGTGGGGCTAATGGACTCTGGGAGGGCTCACGCCAAGGAGGACTTCCCAGAACTTCTGCTGCCAGTGTCCTTGTCCTCATGGTGAGACACAGCCACCCCCCGCTTCTGCAGGAGACCCTCCAACACTAGCAGGTAGGTCTGGTTCAGTCTCCTGTGGGGTCACTGCTCCTTCCCCTGGGTCCCGATGCACACACTACTTTGTGTGTGCCCTCCAAGAGTGGGGTCTCTGTTTCCCCCAGTCCTGTCAGAGTCCTGCAATCCCACTAGCCTTCAACGTCTGATTCTCTGGGAATTCCTCCTCCCGTTGCCGGACCCCCAGGTGGCGAAGCCTGACGTGGGGCTCAGAACCTTCACTCCAGTGGGTGGACTTCTGTGGGATAAGTGTTCTCTGGTTTGTGAGTCACCCACCCAGTGGTTATAGGATTTGATTTTACTGTGATTGCGCCCCTCCTACCGTCTCACTGTGGCTTCTCCTTTGTCTTTGGATGTGGGGTGTCTTTTTTGGTGAGTTCCAGTGTCTTCCTGTCGATGACTGTCCAGCAGTTAGCTGTGATTCTGGTGCTCTCGCAAGAGGGAGTGAGCGCACGTCCTTCTACTCCACCATCTTGAGCCAATCTGCTCTGGAAGTCAGTCTTTAAATAACATCTTTGAATTTTCCAATCCCTTACCTCCCTTGCTTGGTTGGAAAGGACCAAGTGACTGTCCTGGGTTTCTCTGAGCACTGGTGACGGTGTTGCAAGAGTTAATTGGCTGTGTCATCACCTCGCTGAACAAGGACCTGGCTTAATCACAGGGATGACAGGCAGGCGGGGAGGGACATGAATATTTGTCTCAGGCCGGCCTCGATGCTTGGTTGAGCTGCCGCCTGCCTTCGAGGTCAGGGGAACCATTTTAGAGCAACAGCCGCTGTCTCCTGCCCACGCACCTGCCTCCCTGACCTTCTCTGCAGATGAGGAGACGAATCCCTGAAAGTTCAAACGTCCAGGTTCGACACTTCCCCTTTGTTTTTAAAAGGTTAACGATGAGTGATGAGTGGGTTTGTCAGACGTCAGCTGGAGCAGGCCTGAGGGGTCCAGAGGAGAGCTGGGAGGGGCTTTGCTGAGGCCCCTCCCCACCGTGTGACAGCCCCCAAGTCCCTCCAGGAGAGGCGGCCGTGGGCTGGAGCAGCGCGGGGCGGCCGTCAGCCCTGGTCATCTCCCAGCTGCTCCTCCCCACGTTCTGACCAGGCACCTCTGGCATCTGGGTCTCCCTCGCCCTCCACCTGCAAAGGTCTGTCTTGGGGCACCCAGCCTGGCCCGGCCCGTGTTGGGGGGGGTCCCTCTTGCCCCCACCCACCCACAGCTGCCCAAGCCCACTCCACAGTAGGAAGCTTTGCTGACGGCCTTGGGGCTCCGAGACCTTGGGGCTCCCACCACTTTGGGCTGGGACCTGCCCCTGCTTATCCAGCAACCTAGGCGGGTGCCCCTCCAAACTCCAGGCCTAGCACTGCCGCCCTCCTCCAAGGCTCTCCCGCCAGGCCAGGCACTGGCTGGCCCTGCGCGCTCCCTGACGATCACCTAAGGCCCTGGTCCGCCCTCGAGCAGAGGCCTCCCCAGAGCCCACCCTCCCGACTCCATCAGGACACCCAGCCCTGGGGCAGGGGGTTGGGGGGTACTCAGTGCCCACGGGGTGAATGAGGGGTCCGCCTGTGGCCCAGAGGGCACCTCTGGATCACGTGGGTGGTCTTACATCAGTGGCCCCTCTGTGAAATAGAAAAGCAGGATGACAGCACCACCACCACCCAGAGAATCAGTGCCCAGGTGAAGCTGGGAACGTTCTGTGACCGCTTTCCTAACCTAGACTGCATCGTGATGGCGCCCCCAAACTGGATGGGTGAAGGGCCTTGTGCTGGAAGGCCAGGCCCCCAGGCTGCAGGCTGTCCACGTCCACTCCACCACCCTCCGTCCTGGGAGGGCCCAGCCGAGACACAGGGCCCGCGTGCTCCTTCTGGCTCAAGGTCAGCCAGCCAGGTTTGCCTTCCCCATCCACGTCCCCGTCCCTGTCCAGGCTGTCCTGCGAGCGGATAACCACCGCCCTGACCCCCTGACAGCTGGAGTCACAACAAACCCACCTGACTAGAGCCTGCTGCCCACAGGAAACAAAAGACAATTTTGAGTCATCCTTGCACAGAGGGATGGTTTCCGTTCTCCTTCAGCTCACAGGGAAGGTTATCTGCTGAAATGGGGTCTCTGGAGGCCCCTGGGCTTTGAGAGCAGCAGACTGATCATCATAAGAAAACAATCGCCCACGACACACTCCTCGCCCAGGGATGGGGACAAAGGTGCCACCTCGCAGTGATTCCCCTCGGAGCCCGGAGCCTGGCCCGTGGTGCAGGGTAACCGGCCCCGCACAGCTGGGGTCCCCAGGGAGCCCCAGTGGCAAGGCTCCCCCGCTGTGTGTAGGACCTGATGCCCTGATCTAGCAGGACTGTCCAGGCCAGTGATGCAGGGACGCCCTCTGTGACCAGGCGGTTTATTTATAAGCCCTGGTGCAGTGCTGACCCTGTGACCTCAGAGTCGGGCACTAAATCAGGGTGCAGGGTGGGGCAGCCCCAGATGTAGGGAGGAGGTCCCGCGTCCGGGAACCCCAGCCTGCAGAGGGCAGCTGCCATCCCTGGGGGTGCCTCCGGAGGACACTCACCACGCATGCCCCACTGAGGGGGACAGTGACCCCACCCCACGCCCTCCAGCTCGCCTTCCTTCACCCTCGATGTGTTTCTGAAATTCCAACGATGACACGACACGCTCCAGACAGGCTCTGACGATGGCCCTCCTGCGGCCTGCCCGGCGCCCCGTCAGACATGGCAGAGCCGAGAGCGCGGGGAGGCCCACGAGGCCACGGCTCCTCCCGTGTCCCTCCCTCAGGACGGGGGTGCGATGCCCGTATGCCTCCTCCTCCGGCCCTGCCCGCCGTCATGTTCCCCACCTGCTGCCCCTCCCCCTCGGCCCTTTCACGTGGCCAAGACCACAGGCCCCAGGCCACGTCCTTCCAGCAGCTGAGACGCCACCTCCCGACCACCCGCCCCGCGTCTGGCGGCCCTGACAGCGTCACCTGGAGCCCAGCTTCCAGGCTGTCCCCCGCTTCTCCGCAGACCCTCACTGCCCCTTGAGGCTCACCCCTGCCCCTCCCGCAGCTCCCTGCCTTCCCGCCGCGTGCCTTGCCCTCTAGGGTGGGGTTTCGCTGGCTGGTCTTTCCCAGCAGGATGCAGCCCCCAGGGAGGCTCTAGGCTGCCCCCTCGGCACCTAGACAGCAGTTCTCAAACCTGTAGAACGTGGGCTCTTTCCAAACAAGCCTGGCGGCCAACGTGCAAAGAGCGAAGAGCCGGCGGGGCCTCCACGATGCTCACACCCATACACACAGACGACGACAACGCAGCTTTTCTTAAAAAGGAAGGTAACGGCCGAGTCCAGATGCTTGGACCAGCGCTCGGCCGAAAGAGAACGCAGGGTGGGAAAAAGCACTGTTTCTAGAAAACGTATTTTATTAATACTTGATGTACAAACAAAGAATAAATATCTCGCCGTCTCACCCAGCACGGCGGTGACACCGCAGGAGCCCACCGTGTGACCAGGGCCTCTCTAGAGCTCAGGAAGGAGACACGGGGTGGCCGGAGCCCAGACTCATGGGTTCTGCAGGGGTCGCCAGTCACCCCAGGTGTCGTGGGAAGTTGGGCACCTAGTCGGAGGGGATGGGGTGGGGCCCCAGCAGTGCCCTCACAGTAGCTCCCTCGTGGCGGCCGTGAAGTCCCAACACAGGGCTCTGCAGACCAGCCTCCACCCCGTGTGCAGCAGCTGGTCCCCAAGGTGCCTTCCGAGGCTGGAGTGACCCCGCTCCTCTCGGCCGCACCCCTGCCCTCGCACGGGGACCACAGGGACTTCGAGGATGAGCATCTGGCCGCCCCTCGTACTGCTGTGGCCGTCACAGACCAGACAGCCTGGACAGCTGGACGGACCCTGCAGACAACCGGAGGGGGCCCCCCGTCCCCGTGAGCACACAAAGCACCGGGACTCGCCGAGGAATGTTCCGATGCTCTGACCCAGGCAGTGGGGGACGGATGGGGCAAGGGCATCACAGGCCCCCAAAGGCCTCAGACCGGCCCTGTGATGTGGCGGTTCGCCCGCCGTCCGGCTGGTGCGGGGTCCCACGTGGGGAGAAGGGCAGGACCAAGGGCCCTGCTCTGCGGCACAGGGAGCGTCGACACCGTGCCGCCGCCTGGGACAGGAGCAGCCCAGGCGCCGGGCCTGCCCGACGCTGCGGGAAACCCTCCAGACAGGCCGGCACCTCGGAGGCATCACGGGGGCCTCGCTGGCCGTGGAGACACGGTTCCGGATCTGGAGCCAGCAACCCGCATCCCAGGGAACAGGTGACGCTGGGTCACGGCAGACAGGTGGGCCTGGGGAAGGCAGGACAGACGCAGCGTGGCTCCGCAGGGCTCCCGGGCCCGAGACCGGAGAGGGGACAGCCTGCTGCCCAGCCGGGGGGCCCCTGCCCCGGCGGGGACACCTGTCCCGAGGGCAGCTGCGAGCTCGCGTGTGGGGCGCCCGCGGGCCGGTTCAGTATGCGATCCTCCAGTGCGTGGGCTGCTCACACGCCTCCTCCTCGTCCCCACAGAACCGGTTGTATGTCGTCTTGGGGTCCAACCCCAGGATCTCTCTCTCCTCGTGAATTCGAAAAGAGAACGTGGAGACCGAGGTGCCAATAAAAAACCTGCTGAGCAACGTGAGGTCACCGGGGCTGCGGAGCAGACCTGCCGGCCACGCCCACCCGCGACCCCAGGCGCCTGCCCGGCCCCCCCCAGCCCAGTCTTCTCGGCTGGGGCTCCCTGTGGCCCATCGCCACCAAGCGGCCTGGGCTGCAGGAGCCCAGGGGCCAGGCTGCGGCAGGGGCTCGGGTGACAGATCCCGCACCGGAGGCAGGCTCGGGCCACTGCTAGACCTCGGCTGCCTGGGGCAGGGGCTCAGGGCCAAGCTCAACCTGCCGCGCAGGCCTTCCCGCTGAGGGGGCGGAGCTGCAGCCGGAGGGGAGGGGACTCCCCTCCAGGGACGGCATCGCGGAACACACGTGCCGGAGGTCTGCTTCCCGTCACCGCCAGGTCTGAGCCCAAGGCAGGCGGGGAAGAGCGAAGCCCCGAAACCCGTACCCCCGCCCCCCACCAGCAGAACCTCGGGGCCGAGGGGCAGGGCCCAGGGCGGGGCCGGGGCTGCTCCCTGCAGCCCTGGTGGGGCTGAGCCCGCCCTCAGCCCTCTGCTCAGCCTGGAGGAGGTGTCCCCTGGAACGGGACAGGGCACACCTCTACCTGGTAAACCACACATGCCCCTGCACCCAGCATGTCTGAGGATTCTGGAAGGAGAGGGAAAGTCACCTACTCTGCTCTGATTTTCCACTTTACTCCAAGTGCCCGACTCACCCCAGCCCTTATCTCCCAGCGCCGTGGGCAGATGAGCCCCAGAGGAACCCCCGAGGCCCGGGCTCAGGTCCCTGTGGGCAGCTTGCCTCCCATGACAAGGACGGGACACTGGGCAGGGTGCCCCACGGGTGCCCCAGATGCACCTGGGGACCAGGACTCAGGGGCGGGCGGGGCGCGGACGGCGCCGCCCCCGAGACAAGACGCGGCAGAGGAGAGGCCCCGGGCGAGGCAAGGAGGGCCGAGCTGGGGGCCTGCACGTGAGGACTCAGCCTCGGACACGTGCTGGGCGTGTACGCGGCGGGAGGGGCTGCTCACCGCGCGTGCGCGCAGACCCACTGGTCCACGATGGCGACGCCCCCGTCCTTGTAGAGCTCCAGCTCCTCCCACGTGGGCTCGAACCGCACCATCTCAGGCAGCAGCCTCCGGAGCCCATCCAGCTCTGCAGGCCCATCACGGGAGGTGACGGGGCCGCAGGAGACATGCGTGTGCACGCGCTCACACTGCAGGACCACGGGGGGGTGGCGAGGAGGACAGAAGCACGACCCCCTCCCATTAACCGTGGGAGGAACAGGCGGACGGAGCCACGTACCCTTCCTGGCGGCGTCCGTGGCCACGAACACCCTGTCCAGCTGGTGGGTCTTCATGAGGCTGCGGATCCTCCTCGCGGCCCCCTCCAGGCTGGGCACGTCCTCCCTGTGCCCCCAGGTGAAGTCCTTCCTCCTCAGGTGGACGCCCAGGTATGGGCCCCCCAGCGAAGAGCCCAGCTGGACCTGGTGGAGGAGGACCAGACAGACTGGTGCCGATCGGGCGGGATGCAGGGGGCCTGACTGGGTCCATCCAGGGACCGATTACTGGTCAACGTCCCTACATCTGCACCAGGACGGGGGCTCCCTGCTGACGAGCAGCATCTCTGGTACCTGGGGCAGTGGGGCCCGGCAGCCCTGTGACAAACAAGGGTGCTCCCGTTCTGCCCTTTCCTAAATGAGGGGCTTAGTTGTGAGGTGTCTAGAGATAAAACGCACCCCCCCCCCCCCAAGAATTACAGAGGTGGGGTCCACCCTCCTCTTGGTCCAGTCCTCC